AGAAACAGTCCAAGAGGAAAAAGGGCAAAGGATTCAATTATAACTCAAAAGAAATAGTCATTGTAAATATGAACAGATGGCCTATCTCTTTGTATTTAGAGAAGTGCAAATGAAACATTTCAGTGTCTTCTGCTTTTGAATAGAAGATAAGCTTAGTAGAATTGAGAATACAAAGAATTGGTATTCTGTATTACACAAAATACCACACAGTCACACAACATTGTTAGGAGATTAATAAATATAACCTCCTCAGTAGAAATTTTAAAAAATCTAATAAAAGGTAAAATGGTCATACTTGGATCCAAAAATTATGCTATAGAAATTTAAAGTATACCCACAGGGATATGGAAATACTTATCTACAAGAATATTCATTGCAGCACTGTGTTTAATAGCAAAAAAGGAGAAACATGCAAATGTTTACTGCAACTCATCTTTTAAAAATAAATTTTTGAATAACAGCAGTAGAAGATGCTTATTAAAATATGAATTGAAGAGGTGTGATTCTACATTTCTGAATCCTATTTAGTGTTGTAAACCAATGTTACCTTAAAATAAAAATATGAAGAAAAAACAATTAAATCAATATTTACCCATGCAAAACATTTTGAACAAAAAAGAATTAAAAATATAAAATTCATTTATCTATGTTTATATTTTGTAATATACATAGGCACATACACAAAGACATGCTCACTTATATACAAATATAGATATATATGCATATATAATCCATATATACAAATACAAGACAAAGGTAGTTTATGTTAACAGTGTCAATCTCTTAATTGTAAACATAATTTTCATTACTTGATTTTTCAATGTTTCTGCAATGAAATTGACTTTTGTAACTATGAAAATAATTATAGAAATATTTTATATTAGAAAACCAAGTTTTATTGAACTTTGGTGAAAATTAAGGTTGACTAGAAGATAATAAAATTCACAGTAAAGTGGGTTTAACTTTTAATCTAAATCTGGGGTAATTTTAGACATGGCAAAAAGTAAAACTGAATAGTAAGTCATCAAGTTTCATGCTTAACAAAAGGATACAATTTTCATTATCTTTAAGACAAGAATCAAAGAAGTAAAGATTTGTGTCATGAGAGGATCTGAACATCTAGTAATCTTTAAACAATGAAACAATATTATTGTCGCTATTGTTCCAAAACTATCCATTTACAAAGTGAGTTTAAGTTTATTCTCAAAAAATATTTAATTCCAGGCTTTGGTTCTCAGAACATTTTTTATGCAATTAATTAATGCATTTATTTGAGCTAAAGTAAATTACCAAATCTCCAAGAAACAATCATGTGATAGATTGCTAAAGAAAAGTGGATGAATTTTGGATTATTTGTTCTAATGCTCCCTCCATTAGTATGGATATATGTATGCATATATACACATCTATATGTGTGTATACACACACACACACACACACACACACACACACACATACAGAGGTGGGGGGGTTATGTTCTTTTGCTTCCCTTCCAGGAAGGATTAGGGCAGAAGATGGTGGTTGGAATTCAAGGAGACCAAATGTGGAGAGGCAAACATAAAACTTGCCCCTTTGGGATCAAAAATGCAAAATGGAATGTGGTATGTCTGCACTGAAGAGAGAGGCAGATAGACTAGAGCCCCCGGAGTCATCATTAGCACACAGCAGGCATGGTAACAGGGCAGGGAGTTCACAGATACCTCCTTATTGTGTGATATAACAAATTCTGGCTTGACTCAGGAATGAACAGGTATGATTTATCGTGAATTTCACAGCAATATTCCCCAAATCTTTCCCCATATTTTACTATTTTATTTCAGAGTAAAATAAGAATATAAATTTATTTTCAAGAAAAGATTGCCAAAAAATGTTAACAGGTGAAAGAGATCAAGAGTGAGCACATGTATGAGAAATACTCCAAAATTTTACAGTGGCCTCTCATCCTCCAAGTGAAATGCCAGGCTTGAGTAGTCAGGGAAAATCCCTAGTACCCATCAATAGCCTTAGGCTGCCAACTTCGTGCCCCGGCCCTGTTAAATTGTGTGTGTGTTTTGTTTTTTTTTTTTTATTCCTGATTGATTGCTCTGAAAATTTATCAAGTGGTGCACTGGGGCTGAGGACATATAGGCATACAGTGATGCTTCTACTCTCTTAATGCTCTACTCTTTCCCTTCATTGCACAGACAAAGCCAGATCCTAAGTAAGCTAAAGTTTCCAGCAATGACCTGAGAGAAGGTGCAAGGCTCAGTTTCTCTAAGTCACAAAGACAGAGAATGAGTTTGCTCAGCGACAGTGAAGGTTCTCTCTGAATATCACCCACCCAACGAATACATGTCTAGGGTGACTAGAAATTTCAACCAGAAGACATATATTTAGTTCCTTTGCTTTTGATTTTAAAAAAAGATAATTAAATTGAAGCCCAAAGAGTTTATCATGTATGTAAAACATCTAGTTCTCTTTCCAACAGCATATTGGACATTAGTAGGCTAAGGCACTACCCTGGTTGCTAAGGGATGCAATGGAAGGTATGTCACAGTCCTTGATTACTGTTTACAGAACTGATGAGTACCAGAAGGTTCAATTAAATATAAGCCCTGTGAAGGGAAATAGGAGTAAAACACAATTTATATCTTGATAATACTCATAATCTCATAAGAGAGAGAAACACAGATACAACTACATTACAGTGTGTTAAGGAGAATAATAGATGACTGAGCAAAGAAATTCAATAAGCAAAGATGTGAAAATGATCAATCATCCCTTGTGACTCAGTCTGTTACACAGAAAGGAGATACTGATGTCTTAACCCTGAAAGATGAGAATTTCACCAGATAGAAAATGGAAGAAATGGCTGAGAACGTGTGCTAAGTATATAACAAAGCCAGAAAAAAATTTATGTGTTTAGAATATGGTGATAGCTTGGGATATAGAGAGAATAGGGACTAGTAGGTGATTTCACCAAAAGGTAGAAAAGATGAATACTCATTTACTCAACAGTTAAATTTTCAAGGGTATTCTAGAATTTGTTGACTAGGTTAAAGTAATTGGCTATACAGTTACACACAAAGACACTAACACCTTTTAAAAATTTTAATGATTCTCAGGGGAAGCATTTTCTTCTCTATTTTTAAACTGTTTCACTATAATTACTATAGATATGCAATTGTTATTTCATATAAGATAAGGCTAGCAAAGTAAAAATCCTATGAATTAAAATACCATCTACCACTCAGAGATAATCAGTGGTAACATTTGAGTCAGGGTTTTCCAATTTTCATTCCTACTAATAAAAATATGCATGAGGACACATGTGATGTTTATGTACTTACAAAAAGTGAAATTACATCCATCTACAATTTTGTGAAACCTTGTAATGTTTAGTGGTTGCCATTTTAGATAAAATGCTGCTGCTTAGGCTTCCAAAAATGCTTTGATTAGAAATTCTATCGCTATTTTCTGTACCCTGCAAAATGCTATTGCTATTTTCTGATCGCTACAAAATTAATTTGTCTATAGTATTTATTCTCTTTTATGATCTCCATTGCAGTTATTTAAAACTCGTTGTGATGTTAAATTCACAGGTTTTTCCTCTTGTCTCAATTTCCTCTTCATTGACTACATCATTAATTTCCTTATTCATCAGTTTTTATAATTCATTGCAAACACAAAAGCAAAACTTAATTTTTTGAGAATAGATCTTTTATAAATATAAAATATATTTTCCTTTATAATTCTCCTTTTATATTTCTATTTTTAAGTCTCCTGTTTGGATAGCTAGAAGTAGTTATCCAGGTAAGATGTGTGCCAGGAGATAAACTGAAAATATTCCCATCACTTTCTATGTGGCTGACGAGAGAATCCTTCTGTCCACCCAGCCATTCTAATGTCTGTCCAGTATTTAGAGTAGACCAGGAATACAAAACCTGTGGCTGTATTTTTATCAGAAATAGAGGCACTAATCTTCAATCTCATTCCTTGAGATTGAATTTATAGACTTGACTCTAGAATTTTATATTCTTGACAAATTTCATCTTCTTAGTCTACTTAAAGGCATTTCAATCTTGATTTTGTTTTCCAATATATTAGTTGTCCCTCTGTTTCCCATGATCTAAAAACCTGCAAAAGGTAAAATTTTCAAAATATTGACATTCTGGCTACCACACCAGAAAGAGCTTTTTCCATTTTTAATACCTATGTCCTTGAAATTGTACATATTATATGAATAAGCATTATAACCACATTAAGATCTACCCCCAGTACCTGCCACATTTGCCATTCAGTAGCCTTGAATGCTTTGCTTTGCAAAATAAATATTGTGATATCATTTCTCTTGCCTTTGGTCTTCAAAGACAAGAAGAGTGGAAATGGGCTCTAGGAGAAAGTTTTACATGGTGTTCTCCTTCATATTAAAGAATTTTATTTTTAATTCAACAGTTAAATATCCTCAGCTAAAATACTTTATTAAAATGGGGGAATATTTCTCTCTTCATTAGCATTTAACTGTTCTAAACTCTTTAGGGGAGGGAAAGAGAATTGAATGGTTGTATTTAGTGGGTGTCTTATGAGAATGGTTGAGCTGTGAAGTGCTACAGTCCCTGTATGCTCATATTACTCAAGTGTTTAATGTTTTTGTTGGCAAAAGAATGAAAATACAAATAATTTTCCAGGAATTCTTAATATGGAATATATCTATATCCTAAAGACAAGTTAAATGTCATTAACCCACACAACCCAGAAATGATTTAAAATTTCTAAACTTCCAGTTTGTATCCATCAATGTGCTATGTGTTATTAAGCTAAATATTAAGTATACCCATCAGTCAAAGAAGAGGTTTTTGCCTAAATCTTCTGGATATTTCTCATACAATAGACATGATACCTTCATTCTCTACTTGGGTTCAAAACTGTTTTCCACTGAAATTTTTGCTCTTTCAAGTCAGGGATAAAGCTATGGTCATGTATATCACATTTCTTTTATTTTCTATCACTGTTTTTAATAGGACAAGAGAATGATTCAACAAAGAATGAAATAAAAATTGAAGCAGAGTCCCAGAGCTCATATATGGAAACAGAAGGTATTGAAACCAGAATGTATTATCAGAGGATGAGCTGAAACTGTGAACCATGACTCTTGTATATAACTTATATAAATAGAGGGTGTACATGTGAGTTTTAAATAGCAACATTTCTGCACATGTGCTGTTGAAACTCAGAGTGGGGAAAAAAACTTTCAACTTTCCATACTGTATTCAATGTTTTATCAATAATTTCAACTAAAGCATCCCTGAGTATCTTACCATCTCATTCTATTTAGAGTTTTCATCAAACCAAGAAGATACCACAATTATGGAGCAACCAGAAGTGATTCCACTTACAGATGACCAAGAAGAAATAGATGCTGAAAAAGGTAAGACTACTTTTACATTGTCAACAATGGAGGGTTTCTTTGGATTCTTGCCTGGAATTCAACCATCAGTTTTACCCTCATGCAAAAATGAACGTAACTTTATTCCTGAACCTACTCTTGAAATCTAGCAGTAACAGTTTATGTCCTATATTCATTTTGATTCTGTTTAATTAAAAAAGCATGTTGAGAAAGCCTTAAGAAATTGAAATTATGGAGTAGATGGATAAAAGTCTTAGAAATTCTGAGATGGCTTTAAAACAAGTAGATTAACCTGTTGCATTAATTTTTTGGCTGCCTTTCATATGGTAGTGATTTAAGGTAATAATTTATATAAAATATGCATATTATATAAACCTTCTAAACTGCAACTCTTGTCCACTAATATTAGAATACAATAATATTGAATGCTATTAAAAAAATAAGTGAGCATTCTAATGATTTCTGAAGACATAGGAAGAATGAACCCTTCATAAACATTGAAGCAGAATTTGAGAGAGGAAGTCAATATATTGGAGTAAAAATAGCCATCTTTTTAAAAATATTAAAACTGAAAGAAATTCAGTAATGTTTTAAGAATTCTATTTTCAACAATATAGCACTTCCTTAAAAGAAGTTCAAACATAATTTGTCTGTTACACTGTATCATAAATCATGCTGCTCTTAAATAACTGTGTTTGCAAAGCAGTTGCAGAGTAATAACTTGACAAGCCTTGTTTATATAACACAGTGATCAATTTTGTTTCCAAATTAAAAGGCAGACACGATCTCAATTGTAAAATCAGGTCAATAGTAACTATAGCTTCCAAATTATGAACTCTTCTTGGCAAGGGCTTTGACACAGTTTAATTACTAAGCCATGTTAGTGATTTTGACATCTTTTTTTATTTCCACTGCATTTATAGCACAATATTTTTCCATGTCTATGCCTCAAATAACCTTTTTTTTTTTTATTACAAATGCTAGTTGAGATTCAAGACACCATGTTTCTGGCAAGTCAAGTAAATAGTGTATTTGGAGTGTTTTATATCTGATAACAGAAAAGTGCTATAGCTCTTATTTTAGATTCAAACACATGGCATTGCTCCCTTCAATTGTATTTCTAACATGTGAAAATGCAGTGCCCCACCTGCCTGCTTAATTTCTCTATAATTATCTGCTTTGTATATGGTGCCTCAAGACAGCAAAGGAGGAACATCAAATAAATGGTATTTTCCTCTTTAACTTGACCTACAAAGAAAAGGCTAGTGTTGAGCAAACATTGATTTGTTACCCTTCCCCAGCACTTAACACTCCTCTGACTACTAAAGAGTTAAAAATACCCACTTCTCTCTCTCCTCCTTATAGGGATGTCAGCCCTCTTTTGCCATTGTTGAAAGGGCCTGTGATAAAGAAATGAAGTCAAATTCTGCTACTGGCTTGTAGCAACTTTGAAGTTGAATTTCTTTGTTAAAATCTGACTGTTGTAATAATGCTAGTAGGCTTGAATTAACCAAGTTTTCCCCTTCCTTTCTGTACCATACATACTTGGCCCTATCTTAAATATTTGTGCTTAAATTTGAAATATCTTAAAATGTATTATCATCATTATCTTCTTATTTTGTGCTTCAAAGTGAAGCGTTAAAAAGTAAAATCTATTCTTTTACTTATAAGAAAAATCCCCAAGGAAAAGAGGTCACTGTGCATTCACAAGCTGGTGACCTTGGGCAATTCAATCTGTCAATGCCTCACTCATCTGTAAGACCATAATGATGAAATCACCTGTCACATGCAGTTGTGAAGTTTTAATCACTTAACACATGCAAAACAATTACAACTGTTCCTGGCACATAGAAAGCACTTTATAGGTGTTGAATATTTATCATAACTTGATGACAGTCAAGAGAATCCACCTATGGAGTTCCTCAAGTGCATTGACTGTACTTTCTGATTTTTAATCCATGAAACTTCATCATCTACATTATCCTGCAATTCAACAACAAATTGTTCTGTACATTTTATTTCCAGCACCATCCCTTGCAGGCAGTTTTGAAATGCATATTTTATGTAGAATTTTTTTTCTTTCTTTTGATTCATATAATTACCAGTCTTTTTTGAAAATATAGCTCCAACTTTTGCATATATTTGCAATGTCTCTTAATGGAAAGTAACACAGATATATTAAAAAATAATTTTTTTCCTAAAAACAAAAATGAATAAGTATTCTATTACATTGGTAGGAATATCTTTTATAGCTTTAGAAATATTGGTTCACTTTTATTGTGAGAAGTGTTCTAAGGAAACAGATAGTGGTTTCTTTCAAAAAATTCCAGACCTGGAAAATATATAACCTTTTCTTCTCATTTTGTAGCATTCTATAAGATTAGAAAATGTAGATAATCTTCAGGATACATCTTCTATGGCTCCCAGGTGTATGGGCACAGATGTTCAACATTAAGTTCTGAAGTTAGCAATACCAAATACGGGTTTTGAAAAGAAGGGAAAATATTCAGCTGAAGTTCATGCTGATAAAATTACACAATAGCACAATGGACATGTCCCTGGGAGACCTGAAACACAAAAATTTCAACAGGCATAAAGTGAGGTTTCACATATGGCACTTTTTCTCATATAGCCACACTGCCTCTTCCCAAATGAGTCCAGTTTTATGCTTTCACAGCAAGATCTGTATGTAGCACATACAAAAGCCAGTAAAATAGCATCATTTTTGTTAATAACCAAATGGGAAAGTAATATTTTAGGACATCTCCTCTAAAGAGGATCTCGTATTTTAGCATAAAATACAAAACTAATATTAAACTGTTTTCCTTAAGATATTTTTGTTGAATTTAGAAGTATTTGACATAAAGTGTTAACTATAGCAACAATGTTTAACCAATATATCATATCATTTTTATATTTTATTAATATATAGAACTTTTGTTCAGCTATTATATAAACCCAATTATTGTAATTGTATCAGTTAATAAGAATAACATGGAATAGTAATCTTTTATCAATTTATCTAAGTTTAACCAAAATATTGATGGAGACTTATGGTGCTTTCTTGGAAAAAGATGAATATGAAGAGGCATGTAATTACAAAGTGAAGTTGAAGCCCGCAACAAACATAAATTATCAAGTCCTTAAACTCATGTTTTGGCCTCTGTCAAGCAGGACCAAATGACAAAGTATAATGCATGAGATCTATGACTGGTGTCACTATGTGGCTCCTGACAATTCATTGACTTAGATTCTGGGTTTGTATAAGAGGCGCGAGCTCAATAATGCACTTATAAGGTGAGCTTCAATTTTGTGAATTTTCCTGAAGACCAACTGTGGAGAACCACATACTTGATGAATAAGAGGATAATGACTTAATAGCTAATAGTCATAAATAAACTGGTAAAACCTCAATTGTAGGCTTTATGCAGATTATTGTATTCTATTGATAAAAATGCAAATTTGTTCTAGACCAGACCAAAAAAAAAAAAAAAACAGCCAAATTTACCAATCTTCACTCCTGAGCTTAACCAATATTTGGATGTCTCATTATTCTCCAAAGATATTTGAATTGGGGAAAAATGCCTTCTGAGCTCAAGTTAGGTTAGCACACCAACTTGGCTCCAAATCAGGCTGGATTCCCATCACCACCCTCTGAGTCCACACAAAAAGCATCTCAGATCTGCTGGCTACTGTGTCATCTTTTGGTGAACATATAGTTAATGAAACACTTTCTCTTCTACTCCTACCAGCCAAATTTATTTTATCTACAAAGTGCCACACTACACAGCCCTTGGTGTTTTCCATTATTGATGGAATACCTACCTACATTGCTGACAGAGCACTTTGTCCAGCACTTGAAAAGCTGGCACCCCACTGACATTGCAGCACCAAACAGCCTCTGTGCCTTCCAGGCTTCCATATTCCAGCCAGTGTCCTTTGCTACAGAGAAACATAGTTCAGGCAAGGTTTTGATTCATGCAAAATATTATTTGAACTTGCATATTAAGGAATAAAGCAAGTTACTGGAACTTTATGTTCAGAAAGTCTTTTATCTTCTCAACTTTAGTCAATGATAGTAATGCTGTATTTTTCACATTAGTAGCATAATAATTTAGTTTATTATGGCAGTTTCATTTTTAAATGGCTGCTTCTGTTATTGGCCTTCTTTCCTAATTACATTTTGTAGCTGGAATTTGTCAACCAGATTTTTGTTTTAGGTTATAAATTAACAATGCTGTTCGGGTCTCACAAAAATTTTGTAAGTGTTTAATGTATTCCTTGTATTGTTTAAATATATTGAATATAAAAATGATATAATTTTAAGTTTAATTATTTAGGTTTTCTGTATAACCATATGTTTGAAATATATGCATATCGAGCCAGTTTATTTCAACTAGACTATAGAAGATATATTTTTCATGTTTACTTTTAACATTGTTTTAGAATACTAATCTACATTTTCCCTCAAACGAAATGTGACTAACCTATGAATTCAAAATTAAAAATGAAAAGTATACTCACTGCTATAATTGTTTCATATTGTAAGTTTAGATTAAACATGTATAAACTTCACATGTAGCTACCCATTAAAAAAGTATATGCTAAACCTCTCAAATGTGGCCAAATCCTCCAGCTTTCTGTGATTATCTTGTCTTTTAAGATTTAGAAATAATTTCCCTAAACTTCCATTTGCATGTTGATGGAATCTACAGTCCCTTCCAATATCTCTGAGAATTCTTAGGGGTAAGGACTATTCCCTTTAGTCTCAGACTCCAAGTTCCTGTCTCTGATGACTTCTCAATTCAACTAATAGCTTTTTTCCCCAAAATTTTATTGATTGGCCCTTTATTGCATAACTATAATTTTGGAAGTACAACTTCATATCTCAGCATGTGCATGTATTGCACTGACCTTCCACAAAGATCCAGTGTCCATGGCCATCCCATTCTGAACACACCTGCTCTTAATTTTCTTCTTCATTGTAACCTGCTTCTAACCCTCACTATTCCTACCAGACA